CCCCCCCCCCCCCCCCCTGGAGAACTTGCACAGCTGCCCCCGGCTAGGGTCGCTTCCCTCCGCTTTACGTGTCCTTGAGGTGGCTGGTCATTCCCTACTTCAGTGGCACGAGACAAGCCGTAGGGCAAACAGCGGAGGACAGCAGTAGCATGTGCAGCACGTGAGCGAACATGAGATAACACCAGGTAGGTGCCTCTCCAAATAAAAAACTGGAATCCCAAAGTGCCGTTGCTAGAAAACTAAAAAAAGGGACGAGAAAAGTCGGCATCTATCGGCCAAAGTTGTTGCGGATCCTGCGCGCCTCCAGACGGCGGGATGACATTTAACCTTGTTGGAATGCTTTATATAGCGCTCGGCGTTAGGTTCTAGCTCTCTTTCAAGGCGGGCCTGTCTCCGAGGACAATGACCTCCCTCGTCATTCTCCCGTCCGCAAATAAACTTTTTGAGGGACCAATGAATAATACACAGACAAATAGCGTTGCGTTCCTCTTGCACTTTACTGCGCGTATTTCATCGGTACTTCCTCAACCAAACCGCCCCCTGACGCACGCGGCCAACCAAGTTCTTCGGTGAAACGAAAGCGCCGAGACTCCAAACTCATGCGATGAAGGGGAGTGGCCTGACCAATAGCAACGGGTAATAACTCTCAACGGTGCTGTTGGCCATTCATGAGACGCCCACCGCCACCGAAAAAAAACGATAAAAAACACTGGAAAGTTTGGACGAAACATCCGTCCGCAAGGGCCATACTACTCTACCGGACACGCTACACGTTCTCCAGCCACGGGCTGCGGCATCAACTCGATGAACAAGAAAGCTCGTCTTACCTCAACCTTGCCTTCGGCGGGGATGGGGTTGGCAGCATTGTTGCTTGCCAGAAAGTCCTTCATGAAGCTGTTGTACAGGAGAGCCGCGCCCTGTTCGTACGCAGACAACATGCGTCACGGTAAGTCGCCGGCGGGGGACGGAGCAAGGCAGCGCGGCAAGCCGTAAACGAGGCTCGAAACAGACGCAAAAACGTCGGTTACCGAACCACTTCCGAGAGTATCAAGGGGCCATTCATTGAGGTGCGGGGGCAACGGTAGAGAATTACCACACACATGCTGGGCTGTTGCTTCGCATGGCGCGATACGCCGCTGTTCATTATTGTTCGTAGGGGGGGGGGTTACCGGTGATCAGCACCGATCAAGGCACGGACTGATGCGCAGATCGTTGCGTGGTTCGGTGTGGAGAAACGCCTTGTTATGTGAACGTTGAAACCGGGCACGAGATGCTAGAGGGCGCAAACGGCTGAGCGACTCACGGCCGCGTGCTTCGGGTGGGGAAGGGGGGGGGGGGGG